GAGCATTGTGCTCCTTTGCAACCCAGGCCATTCTATGATTCTGATTCTAAAACCATTACAGCTGATTTATCCCATTGTTTTTCCGACAGTGAACAAACTATTTGTGCCAGCAAAAAGCAGAAAATTAAATGCCCTGAAAAATGCAGTCGTCTTTCAGTCTAGAAGTGTAGCTCCTGCTGACCTTCTCGCTACTTATTCGTATACTTTGGTTGTGATTTGGGCAGAAAACAAGGAGCAAAAACTGTCTGCTGAGAGTGTGCAATCCACCAGAGGGAGCCAGCATTTTTACATACTTCCATATGGAGTTCATTTTACATGAGCTGTTCCACTGATCACTAATGCAGAGCTCTCTTTCCTCCCTGCAGACAAAGAAGGAGCACTTATACACGTGGCGAATTGAGCTGGCGAAAACAGAAAAGTACTGGGATGGATGGTTCAGGGGCTTATCTAACCTCTTCCTAAGCTGTCCAACTCCAAAGCTTTTGCTTTTAGCTGGTACGTATCTGGTTTAAATTCAGCAGCAGCTCACTTCAGTGGTGTCCCAGTTGTGATTTAGAAAATAAGGTCAGCACTTGTCTCAAGTCTTTCTCTCAGAATGGTGCATCCATTTCTTCCACTCTGACTGTTCTGCATATCATGGAATATCATAAACCAGTCAGTTTGAACCATGCATATTTGGAATTAGGTCAGAGCCTCCAGGATCAAGGTGTCACAATGATGTACTGGATTTTTAGAGTGCTAAATGCTTATTTTTGTTGTATAACAGCAAAGAGGAGCAAACAAGATCCAAGCTGCTCTTCAGCCTCCTCTACTCTGATACTTTCCTACAGATGTAGGTGTGACTTTCTTCTGAAATTATGGATGTTCTGCAGCCAGCTGTAGGCCCTTCTTGTGCTCTGGTAGGAAAGATAAAAACCTTGAGCAGCCTGGTCTGGTGGTTGGTGTCCCTGCACATAGCAGGGGGGTTGAAACTAGATAAGGATTGTGGTCCTTTTCAACCCAGGCCATTCTGTGATTATATGAGCTGCTAAGCTGTGGTAAAGATGTGTTCTTACAGTTTAGGCAGAGATTCTTTCCTGTCACTTTACCATTGTGAGGTGCAGCTGTGAAATGTTCTAGTGGTTGTCAAAGTTGATGTTTGGTTCACTTTCTTTTTATGCCAAAATTTCTCTTTCTCAATGCCTGGTAAAGCTCTGCTTATTTACATTCTTTCTGGAATTTCTCCAGTACATCTGTTTATTTGATTGTAGGTGTTGACAGGCTGGATAAAGATCTGACAATTGGACAGATGCAAGGTAAATATTTAATTTTGTTACCATAATGCTCTTTTTGGCTGACAACTTGTTGTTGTGGGTACGTGAACAAAGGGGGAGTAGCCTCTTAGCAGGGGCAGTCTATTTCAAAGCAAATGTGCACTGAAGATTTAGTCAGTCCAAAAATATTGTGTGTGGATATAGGAAAGGTGGAGAAATCGAGAAGAAAGAGGTTAAATTAGAAGTTGTGATGAGCTTTCTCCATGCTTTTTGTTCAGTCTGGTGACTGATGTTTCCAGCAGTGGGGCTGCCACTTTCTTTTTAGGGAATCAGGATGATATTCTGCAAGGCTTTCTTTTTAATGTTTTTTTTTCTCCCATTTTAGTGACATTCCTAGCTTAGAACACTTGAGACCATCCAAAACTGTTTGGTCTCTGAATGTTTCTATCAGATAAAGGTTCTGCATCCCCATGCATGCATTTTTTTAAATTCTGGTCCCAGTTTCGTGGATTTGCAGGGCATTTGGTATTGGAAAGTAGAATAGGGCAGCAGGATAAATGTTATGTTAAAGTGGCCTCACGGGGCAGAGCAGAGGGGGAGGATCCCCTCTCTCACCCTCCAGGCCACACTCTTTTTAATGCTCACAGTGAGGCATAGTGAGATTTGTAAAGAATGCAAGTGCCTCATTAGAAGAGTTGGTAATTTCACAGTGCTTTTAAGGTTTCAATGTCTGTTGTTTCCTGCATAGGTGAGAATTACTTTCCTAAACTATTGCTGTTTAGCAATGACCTGCTGTAAGCAGGACTGCTTAAAAAGTGATGACTCTCTTGATCTGCAGGGAAGTTTCAGATGCAAGTCCTTCCACAGTGTGGCCATGCAGTCCATGAAGATGCTCCAGACAAGGTGAGCTCTGCCTGGGGGTGAAGCTGCGTGCATCGTGGTCTCCACTGCTTAAACACAACAGGGGCATTGCTTGCTATGAAGCACGGTTTTACACCACGAGAGCCTTTTGGACATGATACCATCACTAGTTATTTTGCAAAGCAGCTTGGATTTTATCATATTTTTAAGCTGACTGGAAAGCCTGAGTTGAGATGTTAGATGAGATACAGAGCTTGGCTAGCTTATAGGTTTAATTCTCAAGCTGGTGGTGATGGAACTAACTGTTACCATATGGAGCGTGGTTCCCTTTAACCTCCTGCCTTCCCTCAAGAAGCTTTTCACTCTTCCTAGCACTAAGCCACAGCTTTTGGAGCTCATTTGTGTTGTGCTGAGTTGGGTGGCTCAAGTTTTCCAAATATGAAACAAATGCTATTGAAACAGTTTGCAGACTGAGGAAGCAGAGTGACTGCTGTGTATTGCTGCAGTTTGTGTCAGTGGAGCCTGTGGTTGGGAACAGGACTGGTTTTAAAGCTTGTTCTGCACCATGAGTGCAAAACCCAGCCTGCCAGTGCTTTACTTTACCAATCTGAAGAAATAGCTTTCACCTGAATGTTGTTATGCTTTTCAACATAGCTTCTAAGTGGCATGATTAGTGCCAGAATGCTGTCTTGATTTATTCTTCGTGGAAATAACATACAGAATGGTTTCACCTAACCTTTCTTTTTGCATGCTAAATTTAAGAAATTACTGAAAGAGGTGGTGAAAAAACTTCTTGATTGTGTGGTCAGTGTAAAGGTGGAAGCACGTATAGAGTTGAGCCTGTTGGACAGAACTCTTTGTTTTAAAGCAGCAGACTTCATTCAGCAAGAAAATCCCAAGGACACGTACTATAGCTGGAACTGTTCATCCTTTGAAGGCTCTCTGGATTTCTTGTTGTCTTCACAACAAGTTCTGACCTAGTTTGCCTTCCTCCAGGTTGCTGAAGCTGTTGCTACGTTCCTGATCCGTCACAGGTTTACAGAGCCCATCGGTGGATTCCAGTGGTAAGGCTCTGTGAGTGCTACAGCTGGGCAATCTGTGAGCAGAGTTTTTGCTCTCACTGTGTGTTTGTGGCTTTCAGTGTGGGAGGTAGCTAGGAGTTCTAGCATAATGCTGAAACCACATATAAACAAACAGCTTGGCATCACAGCCAGGAATTATTTGATGTTTGTATTCTCTGTAAACTTTTCACATACTGTCTCTCATGTTAATGAAACCTTCTTCCTTGAAGGGAAGGAGTGAGGCAGATCTCACTTTGCTGATTCCTTTCTCTATAGCCTGCCAGAAGGCAGAATTTACAAGCTTTGTGGTATTTGGTTTAAGCAGGTTTTTATTTACATAATCAAGGCCTTGTGCCTTGAAAGCAACTCGTACCACGCTGCTTTGGCCAGGGAATGCTGGTAAAATCAGACAGGTAGAGCTCTGTGCTTTGTTGTGCAGACTTTGTCTGCTGACCTCAGGTGTACTGAACTAAACTATAGGAGCCATGTCTCTATATAGCAATGAGAGTAGGTTGTCATTGATAAAGGTTGCTTGGAAAGCCTCCTAAGTGTACAGCATCATAAAGGTAATGGCTAAACCAGTGCTCAGACCACACTCACAAATGGTACTAATCTGCCTCAAGGTCATCTGTCGTGTGTCAGTGAGCACTCCTGAGAAGCTTTATAGATGAGAATTCTATATTTCAACATGTACAATGCTGTAGGACTGGTGATACTAAAGGGATGTTGCTCAATGATCTCTCCTTTCCCCTTTCTCCTGTGCCTTTGGGGGTGAAACAGCAGAAATATAGGAATGTGGGCTGCATATTTTAAATTCAGTGGAGGGAAGTGGTGTATAAGTGATGACAGGGAGAAGAGGCAAAGTCAAAGATCTGCAGAGAATACCTTGATTTTAATGTGACCTTTTCTTCCACTCTCCTTTTTCCTTCCTAGTGTGTTTCCTGCTTGTTAATACCCTGCTATCTCCAGCACTGAGTCATATTGTAAATAAACTGCACCAGAGGCCACTGTGATGTATCCCATATCTGTTCATCTCTCCAGTTCAGCAGCAGTGAGAAGTTGGTGTGAGGTTCATCATCCCTTAGAACAGTTCTTCACAATGTGTCCATGCTTAGGGACTTCCTTTCTGGGAAGCAGCTTGTGTTGAAGACCATGAAAAGCTCTTCAGACCCTCGGAAGTGGGCTCCTCTCTGCTGCCATAAGCAAAGACCTCCTGAAACCCCAAGCAGTCATATCGACCTCCACCGGTTCTCAGGCTTTCTTGGATCCAACTGCAGAAGGGTTGTTGACAATCCAGAGCCAGCAAAGTCACTGCAGCATTTCCAAAGGCTTCAGGATTTCTCCGTGGAATCATCTGATCATCTTCAAAGTGCCCCTTAGCTTTGGTTTTTGTTTTGTTTTATACATTCGTTTTTTTTCCCCTAAAGCAGTAGGGGAATCAGCTTTGTTGGAAGCTCAAGTTCCATCTCACCAGTGTCAGCCTTATGGATTAAGCTGTGGAAGAAAACTGATGCTGCTTTCTTGTGCAAATTTGGACCAGAGGGTAAAACAAAAAGGCAAGGGTGGGAATCGTGAGCTCTGTTTCAGAATCTTGCAGCTTCCTTAACGTTTGTTTCAAGCTTTCACTGAGAAAAATAGCCTGAATTACAGGCAGTTTGCCTATTTGGCCCTTTTCTGCCTCTGGAATGTGTTTATGCTTCCCTCTGTGTAGCTGCCACACATGACTGAGCAGAGATCAGCATCGTTGGGGTGAAAAAGATGCAAGAAGTGCAGCAGATAAATTCCTGGAAGAGCTTGGAGTCAATCCTGCTGATGTTGATGCAGAGGTGCAGGCAGCTGATTGCCCAGTACCAGAGGATACACCTTGTTTTCAGTGTCACTTCCTAGATCATCTCACTGCCTGCCTTCCGTATTTCCACATAAATCTGCAGTTACATGGGAGAATGCTTCTTCAGGGTTAATTACCTGCAGGCAGTTGGTCAGATTGCTTTCACCTCTCCTAAGAATCACTCTGGAGCATAAGAGCTGGCACGTATTGGAGCAGTTTTTCTCAGTGTGTTGCTGGTCGTTGTCTGAAATCTTATTCCATTTGCCTTGTGTCCAGAACCCCTTTGTGCTGTGTGATGGAGGCAGCATTTAATGCTGTTTTGCTGAGGCATAGTTCTGTTCCTGGCTTGATCGTGGGAGCTGTGATGGGCAGCAGTTCTCCAGAGCCATCCTGAACTTCTGGTGTGTTTGAGGTGCAGGTGGGGCAAAGGGAAGCAGTGTGACGAGCTGGTAAACGTGGAGATTCTCTCTGATGGAGAGCTGTTCCTCATCTCATTCCTTCATGTGTGAGTTGTGGCCTTGTGCTGTGCCCATTGCCCGACACAGCATGGTGGGAAATGCATGAATCAGAGGCAAGAAAGCCAAATTGCAGAGTGCTCTGCTCATTGCCAGACCATTGGCACTCAGTGTTAACAGAGAATTGCTGGCTCCTGACATTCCTCTTTCTGCTCACTATTGCATTGTGACCGTGGTGTAACGTCCAGCCCAGCTGTAGTTCCTGGTGGATTAAATGGACCTTCGGTAACCGAGGTGCTACATTTTTTCCTGATGCATCCTGAAGGCTGGCAGCATCCTCAGTCCTCCCCACGTATATTTCAGCAGGATATTTAATGTGGCATTGCTCTGTGCCAAGCTCTGGGTCCTGGCTGTCTCAGAACTGGATTTGGGGAAGTTAACCACAGGGATGAGAGCAATAGCGGATGGAGTGGGAATCCCTTCCCGCTGGGCTGAATTGCAAACATTTTTGAGAGTCTGCTTTTGTCTGAAGGATTTCTGCCTGTCTGCAATTGCTTTTCCTGGGAGGAGGGAGCAACAGGCAGAAAGAAATGGTATTTAGGTGAAAGTTAGCACAGAAAATGAGCTGCAGGGGAAAGTGTTCTCCTTCACTTAATAAAAGTAGAGAAACCCAGGAAGTTCCCCCTCCTTTGCTGTCTGATCTGTGCATTCTTTCACAGCCTTCAGCACTTTGTGTAAAAGCAGGCAGACAGGAGGAGGCTGAGCTGTAAGGGTGCAGATTTCAAGCAGGAGTGTTTGATGATCTAGAAATCTCTCTTGCCTTTGTTCCAGTCGTTGGATTGAGGATCCGTGGAAGCTTTCACAATGGAAAACCCTGAGGATTGGCAGGAGCAGATGTGGTCTGGGAGAGCGGTTTGTGTAAGGGCTGACTTCAGCTTGGAGCCTGCACAGGTTCTGCCAGCTCTGGGGCTGCGTGCATCAGACAAATTGTAGCTCAGCCATTTGTAGCTTACAGGAGCACTGTGACTGCTGGAAAAAAATATTTCCTGTGTGGCCAAAGCGTGCAGTTCTGCTCTGAACACAGAGCCTGAGTGGATATCTGCAGTGTGTAAGTCTGAATGGCCGCTCCTCCATGCTGGCATCTTGAAAACAGCATTAAGCCAAGGGTGAAACATCAGACTGTGTTGAAATCGTTGCTGTATCACATTGCTGCATGGAGCTTGCTTTTCTTTTAAACCTTTTTGTCTCTCTTGTTCAGCCTGCCCTTGTCACACACCTTCAGAAGCAAAGCAGGTGGGAGATTGTACCAAAGCCAATTGAAAATACTGATGGTTGTTGCAGCTGGAGGTCAGGTTGTGAGCAGCTGAGACATACTCTCTAGAAATAAGCACTGGTGGTAAGGAGTGAAAGTGCAGAGCAGTGATGCAGAGGTCTGTGGGCTGTGCTTGGAGCTGTCAGACCCCCAAACACAACCGGGTTTCCTCCCCTGGAATCTGACTGTATTTTGGAGATGACAGCTGTGGGTGATATTTGTCTTTTGGCAGAGGAAGGGGCTGTGTGACCTGAGTTTCAGCCCTGCTTCCCACCTTTCAGAGTGGCTTTTCCTGTTTCTACAGGGCAGGGCTGAGCAATTGCAGCAGGGCACAGCCCTTTGCTGGCTTTCTGCTCCAGCACCATGCAGATACAGGAGAAGGAGAGCCCGCATTATCTTGATCTGATCTGCACGTTTCTCTTCCTCTCCACTGTTGCCTTTTGTCTTGAGTGTGAATGGGAGATGTCTGGCAAGTCAGCTGGGCTTAACTGCTGCTTCACATGCCTGAAAATCTACACTTGGATCTTCTGGGTAAGGTCAAAAACCAGTGTGCCAGCCTAGCCCCAGGTTGCATTTCCACATAAACTTGGCACCACATCTGCAAAGCAGCTGAAACCTGTGGGACCGCGCTTGGGTTTTTGCTGCAGGCTTTGCTGTCGGATGCTGGGCCAGTCGGGTTTCCAGCCTGGCAGGGTGTAGCTCTCAGGTGACCTCGTATCGTTTGCTGTTGTTTCCAAAAGGAAAATGTGTTTGTGTCTGTCAGTCCTCTGGAGACTGCTGTGTCCTGTGTCAGCCTCGTCCTGCTGGTACCTTGTTTGGTGTCCGTTGCTCTCGCCTCCAAATAAAGCATTTGTGCAAAGCCTGGGTTAGGAATTCCTCTGTTTGCCAATAGCAGCCTCTGGGAAGGGGTAGATCTGGCTGTTCTTGGGCTGTCACAGTGGTGAGGTCTGCGTTGGGTTTTTCTGGTGACTCATGGAAGTGTCTCATCCTCAGAAACGTCCCCACATCCCTTCTCTGTGCTCCAGTGTGGGGAGGAGGAGGGGATGCTGGAGCCACAGTCTTTTTCCCCTCCCCTTCACCACTGATTGCTCCCACATGTACAGAAACATCTGAAAGTAATAAAACGTGGTGCTTTGGCTGTTCAGTAACCTGTGCTGTGTTGGACCATGTGTTTTTTAACACCCTGCTTCGGTTGCAGGAATTCAGGGCAGTGTGGGCTGAAGCTCTGTAGGTTTTTATGTGCAAGGAGGCACAGCAGAGCCCAGGTGTTTGGGAAGCTCTTAAACCTCTTCCCTTAAGGTCAGGGAGTTTCTTTGCAGGCTGAGAGTGTGCAGGAGCCGACCTCAACCCCATCCATTCTGCATTGCCTGGTCAGCTGCTCCTGTCACCCTGTCTGAAATGCACAGAGCAAACAAGTGGTACAGGGGCCCAGCCTGATCACCAGGTGTTGCTGGGGAGCCCGGCTGCCTCCTTTGCCTTCCAGTCACGCCAGCACTGTGGTTGGATAGAAAAAGGGAGCTTGTCTGCAGTGCCCTGGGGAAATGGGGCTGCGCGTGGGCTGGGGGCCAGGGAGGCTGGAAGGCAGCAGCCCCTGCGCTGGCTTTGCTGCACTCTGAGCTCCAGCACCAAGGTCCCTCTTACAGCAGCAGCTCTGCAAAAAAGATTCATCGTGTGATGCTGGCAGAGGACAAGGGGCTGTGCTGTTCTCTGCTGTTGTACCCTGGCACCAGAGCGGAGCATGAGGTTGCACACCAGGTTTGAGATGCATCCGGACCCCACAGCAGGTTGTTTTTTGAGTAAGGGTAGTGTTGGCTATGCTCTGGTCCATGTGGCTTCTTTGGTCACTCTGAAGCATACTGATGGCTGTAGGAGTGCCATAGCTCTCACTGCTGCTCCTCTTAGGAGACTTGAGAGGGGTGTGTTTAGGGTCAAAGCTATGGGAAGTGTGGGTTTTGTACCATCCACTCCCCCCCACCTGCCCAGTAACCTTAATGCCACACTAAAGTATTTCTCCCAGCATCCAGTTTGAGTCTCCTTCAATTTTATTTTCAACAGATTTCCCAGAGGGAAGCCACAGCTGAACAAGCATATCCTCCCCCTGCAGCAGCACCCTCTTCTTCTCCTGGATGAACCCCAGTGGAGCTGCACTGTGCTGGGGAGGCTTTTCACTGCCATGGTGACAATGACAGCACCCAGGTCTGGAGCTGCATCCTTGAGCCCAGCTGGTCGCTCAGTCCCGTGGGTCCCGGCTGCACGGCCGCCGAAACTCCTGCCCATACTCATGGATCCACTTGTTTGCCACTGGAGGGGACAAGGGCCCCATCTGTCTCTGTCCCCTATACCAACCTCAGGGGGATGGCCTCCCTGCTGTCCCTCTGACCCCGAATCACCCTGGGGTGACACTGGGTGCTGCCACTCACCCCACTTATCCCCAGCCAGCACGGGGCATCCAGCGTGTAGGGTGTCCCCGTCACCATCACCATTCCTTCTCAGGTTCCACCAGAACAGGGCTGCATTCTGCAGAGCAGAAAAAAGACAAATCCCAGGGCTAGGCACCCCTCAAAACTGCTGGGAGCTCCAGAATTGAGATTTTGCACCTCAAAACTAAGCCAGCATTCCAAGAGCTGGGCTCACAGGGCTGCAGTTTGGCACCCCAAAACAGAGCTGAGAGCCCTGAGGTTGGATTGTCATCCCAAGACGTGGGTACGAGCTTCAAGGTTAAGGATCAGCACCCCAAAACAAGGGCTGTATACACAATCCAGATCTGGGAGTTGTGGGGTTGGGGTTTGATACTCCTAAGCGAAAGCTGAAAAGCCCAAACCCTGGGTTTGGCACTCCTAGAATGGAGCCAGGAGCTCCAGGGCTGGACTTTGGTACTCCAAAACATCATGGAGCTGCGGGTTGGGATTTGGTTTTGGGATGGGCTCAGCTGTGAATCTCTATAAGAGATAAGAAATGGGAGAGCTGTGTCCCCCCCATTTCCCACTCCTGGGATCTTGTGCAGGTTCCCCTCACCTTAACCACTGGCACGCTGAAGTTGGCATAAATGAAAGCAGTGGAGCCACCCGCCTCCACTGCACTCAGCTGGAAAAGGAGCAAAAGAAATGTGAGTCATGGCCCTGATCCTCCTCCTGCCCTGTGGGATACGACTGCTTTCTCAGGCACAAAGCCTCCCCTGGTTCCATCCCCCATGCTTTCCTTACTATGGCATTGCACAAGCTCTGAAATCCTCTGCCAACACTACGTTTTAGCACCATAGCCATCTACTTTTAGCACCATAGCTGTGTGATTTAGGACTGCCCTCACCCCTCTCCAACCGCGTTCACTCTGAACCCTACTGATGTCCACACAGATGCAGCCTCTCTCAGACCAAAATGGGGACTCACATAGATCATGACCGTGGCGATCCTGTTGCCCGACTTCATTCTGTAAAGGGGGCTCTTCCTGGACTGCCCCAAAAGCAAGGAAGTGGAAATGGTCAGTCTGTGTGGGCGCTTCTGGGCGACACTTCTTACCCCAATGGACATCATGGCTCTGAGCTGTCACCAGGAAAATCCCTTCCTCCCTCTTTCCTCCTCTCCTTCCTATAGCCCACTCTTTGCTCCATCCCAGGGGCCACCCCAGGAACCTCCCTCCCAAAGCACCATCCCAGGAGCACCTTGGGGACCACCCAGGACCATTCCAGGAGCATGCATAGGGCAATCCAAGACCATCCTGGTGACTGTCTCAGGACCATTCTGATAACCATCCTAGGAGCACCCCAGAGACTATCTTGGTGGCCATCCCAAGTACACCCAAGGACCATCTCAGTGACCATCCCAGTGACCACCCCAGGACCCCCCAGACTCTCCTGACCGTGGCATGGTCGAAGTGGGGCTCGTAGTGGCCTCCCAGCCCATAGTTGACCACCTGCAGGTACTCAGCATAGGGTGGCCGCAGGTCCAGGCCGGTGATGGCTGCCATGCGCAGCTCCAGTGCCCGCACCACAGGGTCAGCTGTGTCCTTCAGCCAGGCACTGTGGGGACACCCAACTTCAGCCCCCCACTGACTTCATCTGGGGGCAAATGGGGACACCCAACCTCAGCCCCCATTGACTTTGTTTGGAAGCAGATGGAGACACCCAACCTCAGCCCCCCCGTTGACTTCATTTGGGAGCAGATGGGGACACCCAACCTCAGCCCCCCTCTAACTTTGTTTGGAAGCAGATAGGGACACCCAAGCTCAGCTCCCCATTGACTTTGTTTGAGAGCAGACTGGGGACTTGTAGCAATGGGGACACATTGGCCCCAATAGTGGCTCCTACCTCTTGCTTATCCGATACTCCACTTTCTGCTGCTTCTCTCCAGAGGCGACCACGGACCTCTGCAGCTGTAGAGAATATGAGGAGCAGACATTACTGAAGACAAGGGCCACCCTCTAGAGGCCCCAAATCCAAGCAGGGACCCCACTTGGGGACTACACTGGGGTAATTATAGTAGCCATTGGCCAAACATCTTTGTGGTGTCCCCATGGGGTGATGGAAGCAACACAGTGAGTATATGGTGTGTGTCACCAGTGGTGTCAATGACTGTCATTGGGTGTCACCAGTCCACCAAGCCTAGCTGGGAAGGGACACAGTTTGTTGCCAAAACCCTTGGTGGGCTCAATGGCAACATGGATGGAGCCAAGCCAAGCCCACCACTCTACAGGTCAGGGTGGTCCAAGGATGCTTCAAGGGGACACCACTGGGGACAGCATTCCTGTCCCACCCAACTGCTCACCCAGGGCCCTGCCAGTCCCTTAATGGTCTCAGCCTCGGCATCGCTGACGAAGTCGTGGTACAGCACAATGTAGGGCTGGAGCCGCAGCGTTTCCTTCTTGGCAGGCTGCAGCAGGAGGTAGGGGCTGCCATTGGTCTCGTAGGAGCAGCCAAGGTGTGAGGGCTGCTCTGGGGCCATCTGGGGACAGAAGGGATGGAGAGGACGTGGGGATGGGGCCGGTGATGAGGTGGGGCTGTGGTACCCCATTGCCAGCCCTACCTGTGCCCCCAGGCCCTGGCACAGCTCCTCGTAGGCGTCCCGGTTCTGCAGCTGGGTGACATTGGGGCGCTGCAAGGGTCTCCCCACACGGTCCCCATGTGTTGCCAGCAGCTTCTCATATTTGGCCACATTCCTTGTTACCCTCTGGTTGCTGGGATCTACCAAAGAGAAGGCTTCACCCCAAGCCCATATAGAGGTGATAGAGACACTCCAAAACCTCTCCCCAACTCCCTGGGACCACATCTGAACCCCACGTACCATAGTGGAGAAACTCCCTGGAGAGAGTCAACGCATGGGAGATGTTTCCAGCCTGGATGGGACAGGGAGCTTATGAGCCCAGGTCTTGGCCCTACAGTGCTGGGAATGGGGTCAGGCCATGGGACACTGGGAGTCTGGTCATACCATGAAGTAGGAGAAAGCGAGGTAGTCCAGAGCGTCCTCCAGGCTGCCCCTCTCCTCCTCTGGGTTCCAGCTGCCATAGGAGAGGCGAAAGCGGCTGACGGCCTCTTCCAGCCACGCGATGGAGTGGTAGAAGTCACCTGTGTCATAGGCCACCTGCGAGGCAGTGCAGGCAGTGTTCAGAGCTGCTGCTGGATCAGCCTGGCCTTTTTCCTGTCCCATTCCTTCCCATCATCTAAAATTATTTTGTTCTAATCCTTCCTGTCCTCACTGCAGCTAAACCCATCCCATCCCAATTCCCATTCATCTCTTCACATCCGGTCACATTATCCCTATCCCTATTCTGTTCTGTCCTCACTGTTGTCCCCATTCTGTCCTATCCCCTCTTTTCCTTTCTCATCTCAATCAATATCCCTATTCCCCCCATCATGTCTTCATCTCATCCCCATCCCATCTCCACCTCCATCCTCATCCCTTATCCTATCCCTGCCCATAACTCCATCTCATCCCATCTCTATCCCCATTTCCATCCTATGCCATCTCTATATCCAGCCTTCATCACAATCTTCATCTCCCTCCCATCTCCATCCCATTTCCATCTTCATCCCATCCCAATCCCTATCTCAACTATCCCATCTCTGTTCCATCCCTATCCTCATGCCATCCCATCCCATCCCATCCCATCCCATCCCATCCCTTCCCATCCCATCCCATCCCATCTACCTCTTCAACCTCATTTCCATCCCATCTCATCCTATTCCATCTCATCACACCCTGCCCCATCCCATCCCATCTACGTCCTTATCCCTATCTTCATCTCATCCTAAACCATTCCATCCCACCCTGCCCTACCCCATGCCATGCTCTGTGACTCAATCCTGGGTCTGCAGTGGGGACTCTGCCCTGAAAAAAATCCTCAGTCTCTATCAAAGCATCCTAATTCCCTCTCAGGGACCCACGGGCCCTTTTTTCACCCCATACTGGGATTGGAAAACCCTCCCTTCAGCACCAAGCTTTGGAACAGCACTGGGATGGATTGAGCTCCAGGACAGGATCATAGGGCTCCCTGACACCATTGGGTTGGTTTCTCCCCTCCCCGAGCCATGAACCATCACAAATCCCCAGTTTGGATGAGAGCCACAGGATGCCTCAGGGCTGACTCAGCAGGGCTGACTTCACCTCCGTGAGCAAAGAGTGCAAAAAAACTCAGTGTTGAGAGCAAAAAAACTCAGTGTTGCTCCATAGCAGCAAAACAAGACGGGGTTGGAACTGGGTGATCCATAAGTTCCCTTCCAACCTAACCTATTCTATGAGACACTCCATGGGGCTGGGATCACCCTCACCTTGCCCACATGGAAGCAGTCATCGGCCGAGAGCGAGACACGCCGGCCAGGGCTGTACAGGGGTGGGCGGTCAGTGCTGGTGGGCTGGAAGAGGCCGTTGGCCATGCCCTTGACACTCAGTGCGTAGACGTCCTGCAGCCGCATCAGCGCCCGCGCCGCCCCGTCCAGGTCCTCAGCTCCAGGCAGCTCCCGTTGCAACTCCTGGAATCCGACATGGAGCGCTGGGAAGGAAATGGGGTGATGGAGGGAGGTTTGGTTGGGGTTTCCAACTCAACGATTCTGTGATCGGTGGAGCTTGGAGGCTGCCAGCCTCCGTCAGCCTTCTGTGGTGCTTCTTTGGCAACCTTGTCCTCCCCAGTGACCCCTCCGTTCCATCCTCCCCATTGCAGGACGAGGAGAAATGGTTTTAAGTTGAGGGAGGGCAGATTTAGGTTGGACGTCAGGGGGAAATTCTTTACAGAGAGAGTGGTGAGGTGCTGGAACAGCTGCCCAGAGAGGCTGTGGATGCCCCATCCCTGGAAGTGTTCAAGGACAGATTGGATGGGGCCCTGGGAAGCCTGGTCTAACATTAAATGAGAAGATTGGTGGCCCTGCATGTTGCAGGGGGGTTGGAGATTCATGATCCTTGAGGTCCCTTCCAACCCTGGCGATTCTGTGATTCTGTGATTCCCCTTCCTGTCAACCTCCCTATTGTTTCCTCCATTCCCCCCATCCCATCCTCCCCTGTCCCTTCCATCCCACCCTCCTCATTGTCCCCTCCATCCCATCCTTCTCATTGTCTCCTCCATCCCATCCTTCTCGTTGTCCCCTCCATCCCATTGTTCTGCTGTCCCAACACATCCCCGCTGTACCACGGCTGTTTTCAGTGGCCTCACTGCTGTAGACAACGCTGGGCCAGTCGGAGCTCAGGCGCTTGATGAGGCTGAAGGCCAACAAAGGGTTGTCCACGGAGGCGCTGGGGTCCTGGTGCAGTGCCCGGACCTTCTCATAGAACCTATATGGGGTGGCACCACGGGTGAGGAGGTCCAGGGAAAGGGGCTGTGAGCAACCCAACGTGCCCAAATTACAGGGAAAACACTGTTAATGGGGACAGATCTCCTGGACCCAAAGTGTCACCCGACAACCTGTGGTGGTGGCACCACCTCTGCATCAGACCCACATCCCCAACCACCAAACCCCAAATTCCCATTCTAAGTATTCCTAACTTCTATCCTAATAATAGCTTAGGTTGGAAGGGATCTTAGGGATCACCCAGTTCCAACCCCATCTTGTTTTGCTGCCATGGAACCCCCATCCCACATTCCCATTCCCAACCCACCCCCTTCTACCACCCATGGCTGCTCCTTTTCCTCTTGAAACCCCCATTTCCAGCAGCCCATCCCCAACCCGGAGCTGGGATGGCTTGGCTGTGGGCTGTCCCCTATTGGGGTCGGGGGGTCCTTACCTGCTCAGGCGGCGGAGCCGGGCGCTCTCCTCCCGGAGGTACGCACGGAGCCTCCGCAGCAGCCGCCCCTCATTGCCCCGCGCCTGACGGACGCTGCGCAGAGCTGAGAAGGTATCAGTGTGGGCAGGGGGCAGCCAGGCCAGCAGGGCCCCCAGCCCCAGCACCCCCACGGCCCGCATCCCCCTCCCGGAGGCCGCAGTGGGAGGGAGGGATGGAGGGAGGGAGAAAGAAAGGAAGGGAGCGGAAGGATGGGATGGGGATGAGGGGGGTTATAGGGTGGTGGTGGTGGTGGTGGTGATGGTGGTGGGGTTTTGGCGGCCCCTCCTGGCTGGCCCTGGTGTGGTTGGGCCCTCCTCGCTGTCCCCGTGCTGGAGTGAGCCGTGCTGTCACCGTCCTCCTCGTCCCAATCCTCTCTGTCCCCCTCCCATCCTGTCCCCATCCTCCTTGTTCCCATTATTCCCATCCCATTCTGTCCTCATCATCCCTGTCCCCATCCCATCCCATCCTCATCCTTCCTGTCCCCATTATTCAGTCCTGTAATAATTCAATCCTCTCCTCAAACTCCCTGTCCCCATCCCAGCCACCCTCACACTGTCCTGCAACAATTCCATTCCTGTCCCTGCCTTGCCCGTCTCCATCCTCCCGTTCCCCTCCTGAAGCCCTATTTCTGTCCTGTAATAAACTCTCCCTGTTCCCATCTCATTTTACTCCCACCCTGTCCCCAACCCCTTCTGATGGTCCCCATCCCATCCCGCTCCCATCCTGGCTGTCCTCCTCCTGGCTGTCCCCATTCTGTCCTCTAAGAATCCCATCCTGCTCCCATCCTCCCTGTCCCAAATCTGTCCCCACCCCTTCTGACAGTCCCCATCCTATCCCATCCCCATTCTGCAGCTCCCTATCATTCCTATACCCTTCCAGCTGTCTCCACCCTCCTGTCCCCCTCCTGGAAGTCCCCGCTCCATCCTGTCCTCATACCAACCTGCCCCATTGCCATCCTTTTCCCATCCTGCCCCTTCTCATTCTGTCCTATAATCATGCCATTCTGTCCCTATCCTTCTTGTCCCCATCCTGTTGGTTCTTATCATCCCTGTCCCCATCCTGGTTGTTCCAGTCCTGTGCATTCCCATCCCATCTTCCACGTCCTCATCTGTCCTGTTCCCATCCAATCTTCTCCCCAGCCTGGTCTGTTCCAATCTCATCCTGTCCCACCCTGGCTGTCTCCCTCCTGACTATCCCCATTCTTTCCTCTAATAATCCTACCCTGTCCCCATCCCTCTCTGTTTCTGTCCCATTCTGTCCCCATCCTTCCTGTCCCCACCCTGTTGCTCCTTATCATCCTTGTCCCCATCCTGGTTGTCTCTCTCCTGTCTGTCCCAGTTCTCTGTAGCCCCATCCCATCCTGTCCCCATCATCCATATCCTCATCCTCCCTATCCCCAACCTGTCCCAACCCCTTTTTATGTCCCCATCCTTTTGGTCCTTATTGTCCCTGTACCCCTCCTGGCTGTTCCCATTCTGTCCTGTAACATCCCAAGACCATCCCCATCCCATCCCTGCAGGGGCAAGGAGGTGAGTTTGGAGACACCCCACTATGTCCCCACATCAGCACTGGGACCACTTGCCCAAAACAGCCCCCAATGGGCCAGAACCAGCTGAATTCCTGAAGGAATGGCAAAGAATTGGCAGAAACAGGAGCACAATGGCACAGGGGTGTATGGATGCACCAGGTGTACGAGCACTGTGGGTGCAAGGACAGGCACAGGACACAGGGTGGGCACTGCTGAGAGCCCCCCTGCTTCAGACTCTGAACAACACGTCCTCTTCACTCCACGTCTCATGTCCCTTCTGTCCTGCATCCCATCACTCCATGTCCCCATCACTCCATATCCCACATCCTCATCACTCCACGTGCCACACCATGTCCCCTTCACTCATGTCTCACATCCCCATGACCTCATGTTCCACGTCAACTCCACGCTCCATGTATCCATCACTCCACGCCCCAATCACTCTCGCATTCCCTTCACTCTGTCCCACAACCTCCATGTCCCAATTCCCCTTCCCTCCATGTCCCATGTCCCCAGCACTCCATGCCCCCATCTCCTATCCACTCCATGTTCCTATGTCCTTATCACTCCACATCCCAAACCCCCATCACTCCATCACCCACACCCTCCTTCATGCCATGTCCCATGTTCCTTTCAATTCCTGTCCCGTATCCCCATCACTCCATGTCCCATGTCCCCAACACTCTGTGTCCCATGTCTCCTTAACTCCACGTCCCACATCCCCACCACTACATATCCCAAAACTCCACCTCTCCACCTCTCCATGTCCCATGTCCCCTTCGCTCATGTCCCACATCCCCACGACTCCATGTTGCATATCCCTATGACTCCACACATCCATCACCCCATCCCCACCACTTGGCGTCCCACATCCCCATCCCTCACATCCCATGTCCCTCCTTCTGTCACCCAGTTGGATTCTTTTTGGAGATTTATTTGCTGGTGGCATGAGGATGTGGGCCCACGCTGAGCTGCCATCACTAGCCCAGAGATGTGGCCACCTCCTGTCCCCTGTGGTTGGGCAGACAGAGCTTGGCTCTGAGTAGGCATCAGGCAATGGAAAAACAGGGGAAAAACTCTAAAAAAGGAGAAATATTCTCTCATGACACATAATAGAGTCAGGAACTTGTAACTCATCTCTGATTTTGGGTTTTCCCCAGCTGAAAATCACAGGATCATTGAAGTTGGAAAAGACCTCTGAGCCCCCAAGCCCAACCCCAACCCAACACCACCACACCCCCTAAAATGTTCATTTCTAATTGGTTCTGGGCACTGGAATGTGCTGCTGTCCCCCCATGTCCTGTCACACCCAGTTCCTTTCTACAACCATCGCCAACCCAACGATGGGCGTCAGTCAATTAATAGAAAAGTGTTAATTAAAAGCCTTGCAATGCTGCTTCTCCTCCGTTGGGTTTGCATCCCTAAAATCTTCCCCTGAGTTCTCCCCGTTGCTCTTTGGGGACAAAACCCCAAAAATGGGTTCTTCCCCAAGGCACGGCGTCTCACTGCCTTGACCATCTTCGGTGCCTCCCATGGTGCCTAATGTGAAGAGGCAGAAGGCGATCTCCTCGCAGGTGCTGACCTCCCCGCACTCAAACAAGCACCCAAAGACCCCATCGGGGCACACAGCCAGGTCAGAATACCCACAAGGTCCCTCCTGCAGCACCCGTGGGTGCTGCCAGCCCTCCTCGTTGGGCGGTGCCGTGTTGACATAGAGCCCTAAATCACGGCGGTGGCGCCGGTTGGTGGGGTGGGAGTAGAGCAGCCAACGTTGGGTGCCCCCATTGAGGCTCTTGGGCCCTAAATCACATTGCGGGAGCTGCTTGGTTGGATTGGAGCAGAGCAGCCAATTCTGGGTGTCCCCATTGAGGTTCTTGGTCCCTAAATCACATTGCGGGAGCTGCTTGGTTGGATTGGAGCAGAGCAGCCAATTCTGGGTGTCCCCGTTGAGGTTCTTGGTCCCTAAATCACATTGCTGGAGCTGGTTGGTTGGGTTGGAGCAGAGCAGCCAACGCTGAGTGTCCCCATTGGGGCTCTCGGTGCTGGTGGTGCCTATAGGACACTCACTGTGCGGTGTGGTATTGATGTGGAGCCCTAAATCACAGTGTTGTTGCTGGTTGGGTGGGTGGTGGCAGAGTTGGGTGACTCTATTTGGACTTTCAGGGCTGGTGGTGCCTGTAGGACACCCAATGATGGTGGGGAGCGTAGTGCAAAGCAGACAATGCTGGGTGTCCACATTGGGACTCTCAATGCCTGAACTGCATCGTAGGTGCTGGTTGGTTGAGTTCGAGCAGAGCAGCCAATGTTGAGTGTCCCCATTGGGGCTCTCAGTGTCAATGTTGCCTACAGGACACCCAATGGTGGTCGGCACGAAGCTGACCACGCTGCCCTGGCAGCCCTGCGGCGGCTCACACAACGCCGGGCACCTCGCTGGGAGGCCAAATCGTTGACCACGGTCAGCACTGATGGCCGCGGCCCGGCAGCGGCACGGCCGACGGGCACTGCAGTAAAGCAGCGTCCCTCCATCCTTGGCACTGATCTCAGCCACCTGGCACTCTCCGGTCCGCATGCCCCGCAGCAGAGAACCCTTCTGCCAGCTCCGTCCGCCGTCGTCGCTGTAGAAGATGAAGGAGTGCGGGCGGGTGCAGCAGGGCAACGGGACACCACACAGCCGGCCGTGAACGTAGTAGGCGTACGCCGGCACGGCCAGACGGCCCGAGTCCAACTGCACCCCGTGGCCCGGCCCTACGGCAAAAGTGGCCCAGTTGGGCAGGTCGGCAGCGATGGCTTCGTCGGTGAGATCCCGCAGAGGGCTCCAGGTGCGGCCGTGGTCCGAGCTGGAGGAGCAGCAGAGCCGCGCTGCGCTGCGTCCCACCACGATCTGGTGCCACTCGGAGACGCGGCGCTCCACGCAGATGCAGAAGAGGAAAATGGTGCCGTTCTTGGCCTCGTACAGCGGGCAGGGGTTCATGGTGCGGTGGCCCGGGAGGGTCAGCTGGCTCAGCTCCTCCATAGGGCCCCACTGGGGGGAACGGCAAGGGTCAGCCCCAAAACCACTACCCCAAAACCCTGAAACCACTGCTGCGAACCCCAAAAGCACCATCCCAAACCACAAACCACCCAAACCCTGAAACCACCACCTCAAACCCCAAAACCACTACCATGAACCCTAAACCCACTACCCAAACCCTGAAACCACCACCTCAAACCCAAAACCACTGCCATGAACCCTAAAATCTCCACCTGAAACCCTAAACCCACCACCCAAACCCTGAAACCACTACCCCAAACTCCAAAACCATTACCATGAGCCCTAAAACTTTCACCTCAAACCCTAAACCCACCACTCAAACTCAAAACCCACCACCCAAACCCTGAAACCACTACCCCAAACTCCAAAACCATTGCCATGAACCCTAAAACTTCCACCTCAAACCCTAAACCCACCACCCAAACCCAAAACCTACCACACAAGCCCTGAAACCACTACCCCAAACCCCGAAACCATTGCCATGAACCCTAAAACTTCCACCTCAAACCCTAAACCCACCACTCAAACCTTGAAACCACTACCCCAAGCCCCAAATCCATTGCCATGAACCCCAACCAAAACCACCATCCCAAACCCTAAACCCGCCACTTCAAACTCCAAAACCACTACCATGAACCCCAAAACCATCATTCCAAACACTCAACCCACCCCTAAACCCCAACAGTACCATCCCAGACCCTAAATCTGCTGTCCAAGCCCCAAAACCACCACCCTAAACACCAAAACAACCACCCAAACCCCAAAACCATTGCCATAAACCCCAAAATCACCATCCCAAACACTAAACCCACCACCCAAACCCCAGTACCACCAGCCTGAACACCAAAACCACCATCCAACCCCCCAAACCACCATCCCAAACCCTAAACTCACCTCCTTGAACCCCAGAACCACCACTCTGAACCCCAAAACCCACCACCCAAACCTCCAAACCACCACCATGAACCC